GATAAGAGACAACATAGTCCATAGCTGGCTAAGGGGCAGGGCAAAACACTCAAAAGAGATTGTCCGTAATTTTGTGGGCTGTAAAGGACTTGGGATGAGAATTGTACCTTCAGAGTTGCAAGATTCTGTTAAGGTAAACTTAACAATAAAGTAGAATTAGCTAATCTAGTTATGGCTCCTGTCAGGTCTACCTGGTAATATTGGCAATTAACTAGTGTTATAGGGTATAATAACAAAAACCTGAAAGCCCAGTAGAGATGCTTTGTTTTCTGAAGAGAATCAAGTGAGGACAATCTTGAGTTTTTTCCTCACTCTTTCCTAGCTATCAGGGCTAAGCTGATATTTATACAATTGAATTCCTTCTTCAAAGCACCAGAGGGCAGGGCAAGAAACAATGGTTGGAAACTGATCAAAGAGAGAAGCAACCTAGAATTAAGGAGAAACTTCCTGACAGTGAGGACAATTAACCAGTGGAACAGCTTGCCTCCAGAAATTGTGGGTGCTCCATCACTGGAGATTTTTAAGAGGAGGCTAGACAGTCACTTGTCTGAGATGGTATAGGTTCTCCTGTTGGAGCAGGGGGCTGGACTAGAAGACCTCCAAGGTCCCTTCCAGCTCTATTCTATTCATGTAATCAGACCCAGAAAACCAGCAACGTTTGTTTTGAAACTCAAATGGTGGTGATCAATTTTAGTCATGTTTGTTCACAAGACAACATCAGTTGATGTCAGTCTCTGTTGTTTCAAGTAATCTTTAGCTGGGTCTTACCTGAATGACACTGAAATTTACTCAGTTAAAAAAAAACCATGGCAGATGTTGAAGCAGGGGGCTGGACTAGAAGACCTCCAAGTTCCCTTCCAGATTCTATTCTATTCTATTCTATTCTATTCTATTCTATTCTATTCTATTCTATTCAAATTTCTTTCCAGAATGGTTGCTAAGCTAAGCTAGGTCTTCTGCAACTTATTTCCTTTCTCACCAGGCTGAAAAATTCAATATCCTGCTGTTTATGCCATACTTAGCATTCCCTAAAGAATGCTGGATACCCTGCAGTAATGCAATGAGGTATTGTTAGACTCTGAATTTAATTATTTAATGAGAGCAAATTTCATTTAGTTAAAAAATGTGCTAAACTCGATCTCTTGTATTTGAGAGCTTCCTGCTCCTCTTATTATCAAGACAGCTTTTCCTCCCAGTGGAACCAAAAATAATATAAGAAGATGGGCAAGGGAAAAAAAAACCTGTCAAACAACCCGAGCAAATGAGGAAAAAAGTCAGTACTGTGTGATAATGACATCTTTTCACATGCATGCATGCATGCAGAGTCAACAGTAGTTCCCTTGTGAACGGAGCTGTTGAAAATGATCTCCTCCTGATCACAGAAATTTAGGAAGGAAAAGGAAAACTGTATCTATAGGTTGGGGAAATCCTTATTAATGTTGGCAATAGAAAACACTTGGGACCCTCCAGTTAAAATGATAATGTAATTTTGACTTAGTAATGTTCAGATCTGGGGGTGTTTTTTTGTTTTGCATTATTGTTCATAAATAATTAAGTTCATACTGCACTGGAACTACATTGAAAAGTAACTTATCCTTCTCCGGTTTTGGAAATCATTCTATTCCAACATGTATCGCAAAGATTATGAGCTCAATTTTATTTCAAAACATAACTTTAAACCATACACTCACTTTGTAACCTAAATGACTCAGTGTCTATGGAGATTCTCAGTCATCTAGGTCGTGGTTGTCCCAAAGGTGCTTTTTCTCTTGGATGAGAATCAAAATGTCTTCAAGGAAAAACAAAGGAAGTCCAGTTGCCTCTTGAAAAAGCATCTTTGGGACAAATGACTCAATCTTTACTTTTCTGAGAACTCGTGAAATGCTCTTAAGATAGAACTGGGCAATTAAGGGTAACTGGCAAGATCATAGACTTCGTCAAAATAATGGAAATAATGTCACAATACAAGTTCATCTCTTTCCATCTGTGTGTCCGTGTGTGGGATGCCACAATGCACGTAATAAAGGAGTGGTAATTGCAATGCTTCTCTATAGATGCCTTTGGGAGCAACCCAAGAACCATTGGTGGGTTCTTAGACATTCCTATCATTTTGAGATGGAGCATACTCAGAAGCTATAGAATGACCCCTAATTTAGAAGTTACATGTGTATATATCCAAGAATCAGTTACAATCTCACCCCAAATCTTAGAAAGAAAGCAATAAAAAAAATCAGTTCCTGTTGGTGTGTTGGATCCAGTCTCGTCTGCTTTGCATGAATGCCCCAATTTTTCTGGAATTCACCCCCCACACACAAACGTGAAATGGTCCTCCCCCTTGCTAAAGATTTGCCTATTTCTGGTTTAAACAATTTACCATTTAGCTTCAAAGTCCAGTCAGAATATGAAGCCACTTTCTCTGTTCCTATAGCTTGCAACTGAAAAGCAGATGAGGAAGGAACGTAAGGGGGTCCCGTGGGAAACTTTCTTATGATTTTTCATCCAGATTTCAAAACTCTCTCAAGCTCCCTCATGCTTACATTTTTAAAAGTAGGTGTACATCCTTCCTTAGAGGGGTGTCCACACATTTGGTTAAAAAAAGTGATGAATAGTGTAATAGTGTAATCAAAGCCCCAGTGCACAAAAGACTACATTATCATGGGCACCCTCTAGAATTTTTTTACCACACCATGTATACACCTCTAGAAGAGACCTTTTTCCCCCCTTCCTCCACAATATTCTTAATTATCTATATTTCTAACAGGTCTTTTTTTAAGCCTTCACAAGCCCCCAGACATTGTAGTCTTTCCTCACTTGATTGCTCTGTTCTGCAACTTTTTAAATTCTACAATGTATTTCCTGTATATAGCATTTCCTAAGTATTGGTTTATGGATGTGAAAGTTGGACCATAAGAAAGGCTGAGCGACAAAGAATTGAGGCCTTTGAACTATGGTGCTGGAGAAGACTCCTGTGAGTCCCTTGGACTACAAGGCATTCAAACCGGTTAGTCCTAGAAGAGATCAACCCCGAATGCTCTTTAGAAGGCCAGATCCTGAAGTTGAAACTCAAATACTTTGGCCACCTAATGAGAAGGAAGGACTCACTAGAGAAGAGCCTAATGCTGGGAAAGATTGAGTGCAATAGAAGAAGGGGACGACAGAGAATGAGGTGGCTGGATGGAGTCACTGAAGCAGTAGGCGTGAACTTAAATGGACTCCAGAAGATGGTAGAGGACAGGAAGGCCTGGAGGAACGTTGTCCGTGGGGTCGCGATGGGTCGGACACGACTTCGCAATTAACAACAATAACAACAAAGTATTGGTTATATCCAATTGTTGTAATACTGGGAATTTGATTTTTAATTCCTTGGAGAGACAAGCAATGTTTCAATGTTTTCATTGCACCATTCTTTACAAAAACCAAAGTTCTTTTCCTGGCCAGACATTGCTAGTTCGTACCTCTATGTAAAGATCCTGAGACGTTAATCAGACATACTTGTAGGAGAAGGATAGGCAGAGTCTGGGGGTAGGAGTCAAGAGAGGAATCAGCCTGGAATCATTAGGTTCCCACAAGCGGTCTAAGTCAAACCCCTTTTGAATTCTGTTAATTCTTATCTAGCACCAATTTAGTGCTGACTGTTAGTTGACTAGATTGTTATGTATAGGCATGAGCAATAAATCAGCTTAACTGGAGCTTATTGTGGCGCATGACAATACACTTTTCCATAGACTTTATGGATTAGCATTGAGAAAATGAATTTAGCATGCATGATCTGCTCATAAGATGCATAATGGCACTTGTACCAGCAGACTGGTTAGGATATTGAATGAATGAGAACAAAGTCTTGGTATGAGTGCACATGGCATTAATCTAGCATCTTGTCCCTGTAACTGGAAGAGAACACTGCCCTACTATCAGGATTAGATTTCCCCCCCCCCATGACATGTAGAAATGTCTTTCATCTCTAGAAGCAAAATGCAGGTAGTCCTCAACTTAAAACTATTCATTTGGTTGTGACTCTTCAAAGTTACAACCCTGCGGAAAATAATGACTTATGACTGGTCCTTGCACTTACGTCCGTCGCAGTTTCTCTGTGGTCACATGACTGTGGTTCAGACGCTTGGCAACTGGCATGTATTTATGACAATTGCAGCATCCCAGGGTCATGTGATCACCTTTCACAACCTTCCCAGCTGGCTTCCATTGAGCAAAGTCCATGGGGGAAGCCGGATTTGCTTAACGACCACAGCAAAAGAGGCCGTAAAAACCAGTAATGTTCACGTGATGACTCACCGAATGAGCACACCGCTTAGCAAAAGAAGTTCCAGTCTCAATTGTGGTCGTAAGTCAAGGACTACCTTTACGTTGGACCAGCTTTGGACATTTCTTTCCCTTCCTTGTATCTGAAAACCATGAGGATTTGAAGAGCATATATTTAAATGCGTATTTTCTTCGATTCAACTGACTGTATCTAGATCTGTTCTGCAACCTATTTTTGGCTATACAGAACTAAAGCAGAAAAAATGACCCTGGAAAAGGTAGAAAGTTTGACCCAAGTTCTGAAGGCAATGTTAAGTCTACCAGAGTTATGGCACACTTTTTCTTTTTTTTAATCCCACAGATATTTTTTGCCAACTTTCAGCAGTGCAATTTGAGGGTTCCACAGATACGAAAAGAGAACTTGAGGACCACATCCAGTCTACACATCAAAGGTTACAAACCCAAGACCTAGACAACTTGGTCTCTTCTTCATCCTTTGTAACTCTTACTGTCACACCCCTTAAAACAGTGGTTCCCAACCTTTTCTATACCCCGCACCCCTAGAACGCTTCTGATATATTCTCGCACCCCTTACAAAAGTTCAAAATAACGGCAACGAATTATGCATATGCACTATAATTTTGAAAACCCAAGTTTTTGTACCCCCGGGAGGTGCGAGCAGCCCCGGTTGGGAACCCCTGCCTTAAAAGAAATCTTGATGCAGTTACTTCTACCTAGTTAGGTTACTTCCAGCATTTCTGGAGAGAATTATGGGGCTGGATCTTCAGTTTCTTTGGGCACAAGAGTTTAACAAAAGCTCTCCTGAAGCTGTAGTGACAGAGTGGATAAAGGACGGGGTTGATGGCCGAATTAACCCATAGCAGCCAGAAGGAAGCTTCATACCAATACACAGGGATACAGTGACCATGGCAAGCAGCCCGGATGATCATGAGAAGTGTGTATGGTGCCCAACAAAGGCCAAAAATCCCCACAATGACAGCTAGTGATTTTGCTACTTTCTTGTCCCTAGTGAGTCTGAATCGTTGGGTCACACTCTGTTTCTCCAAAGAAAGGTTGGCTGCCCAGTCTTTATCATTCCTTTTGCTAGAAGATTTTCGTCCCGCGTTGGAGTCCTGTGAATACTTTGCGTTAATACTTCCTCCAGCGTCTTTTTCTGGGATGTCCCATTTCGGAAGCGTCAGGCTTCCTGGATCTTTTTCTTCCCACCTACAGCATTTCATGGAAAGTTTGGGCCCCGTGTTCATTCCGGTCTCCTCCACGAAATTCTGGCTGTCGTGAAGGACCTCCAGGCGGAACTTGGTCCGTTTCTGTATGTTCAGGTAGATGCTCAAGTTGAAAAACGTCACGCTGATGAAAGGGGTGAAGAATTCAATGGTGGAGGCCGTAATGAGGAAGTACCAGTTGTAAAAAAATTCTGCATAGCATTCCCCATCGGGAATGATGCTCCGCCCAGATATGTATTCCCAGCTGATAATTGCAGGTCCATAGAGCAAGAAAGCTAAAAGCCAGACCATCGCCATCTTGAATACGGCTCGCTTGGTGTCGCCTTGCTGAGCTCGGTAGGAGACCTGGAAAAGGAAAACGAGGAGTCAAATTTACTAGAGAATATCCTCTCCCTGCGTGGATATCCAGTTCAAAGGAAAACAATGGATTATCCAGTCCAATGTTTTCTTGCTGCTTAGCATTAACAGAATAACAGAGAATTGGAAGGGACCTTGGAGGTCTTCTAGTATCTAGTCCAACCCCCTGCTCAGGCAGGAAACCCTATACAATTTCAGCCAAAGGGTTGTCCAATCTCTTCTTAAAAACCTCCAGTGTTGGAGCATTCACAGCTTCTGGAGGCAGGTTGTTCCACTGGTTAATTGTTCTAACTGTCAGGAAATTTCTCCTTAGTTCTAACTTGCTTCTCTCCTTGATTAGTTTCCATCCATTGCTTCTTGTCCTGCCTTCAGGTGCTTTGGAGAATAGCTTGACTCCCTCTTCTTTGTGGCCACCCCTGAGAAATTAGAACACTGCTGTCATGTCCCCCCTCGTCCTTCTCTTCATTAAACTAGACATACCCAATTCCTGCAACTGTTCTTCGTATGTTTTAGCCTCCAGTCCCTTAATCATCTTTGTTGTTCTTCTCTGTACTCTTTCTAGAATCTCAAATCTTTTTTATATTGTGGTGATCAAAACTGGATGCAGTATTTCAAGTGTGATCTTGCCAGGGCGTTATAAAGTAGTATTAACACTTCTCGTGATCTTGACTCTCTCCCTCTGTTAATGCAGCCTAGGACTGTGTTGGTTTTTTGGGCAACTGCAGCACACTGCTGGCTCATATTATCTGCACCTGATATTTTCATTAGTCTTACTTACTTGAGTGGTACACACATGTGTCATTCTCTGCTTGAAAAAACCTTGGGTATCAAAGTGTGTGTGTCCATGTGCGTTGGTATGTATAGATTGGAAGACTCCTGTATAGTTAGTCATGATAATTTTTTTCCATGACAACTAAACACAGATAGTCCTCAACTTACATCTATTTGTTAGTGACCGTTCTAAGTGAAAAAAGTGACTTATGACTGTTTTTCACACTTAACGACCGTTCCAGCATCCCCATGGTCACGTGATCAAACTTTGGATACTTGGCAACTGACTCGTATTCGTGACGGTTGCGGTGACCCCGGGGTCACATGATCCCCTTTTGCGACCTTCTGACAAGCAAAGTCAATGGGGCAGCCAGATTCACTTAACAACAAGTGTTACTAACTTAATAACTGCAGTCCCTCACTTAACAACCGTGGCAAGAAAAATCGTAAAATGGGGTAAAAACATGCTTAACTATCTTGCTTAGCGACAGAAATGTTGGGTTCAGTTGTGGTTGCAAGTCAAGGACTCCCTGAACTGTTTTCTTTCAATAGCTAGCTGTCCTCTCTCTCTAGAGAGAGGGGGGGTGTTCTTTGAATCTCCAGCATTCTTTCATCCGAGTCTTTTGATGTATGTTGTTGTTGGTGTGAAGTGTTATTCTCTAACAGCCTTAACCAGCTGCGGGGGCGGGGGGAACAGTGGCCATGGCCTGATTGATTTGACCCTCTATAATGGTCCCAGTTTCGCATGTGACCCCTTGGGAAAATTAATTGCCCAACCTACCTATGGAGCTTTGTTTGACTTAAAGAATACAGTAATGACTACATTGTGGCATAACCTTACCCAATACACTTTATAAAATACCAGGTGTGACTAACCTCAGAGAAAAGGTCTATATGTATCACCAGGATAATAGGAGAAAACTGATGAGGTACTAGGCTGTAGTCCAAGAAAATAAACACATTAATTTTTAAGGTATCAGAAGACTATTCACTGGGTTTGCTATATAGGCCAACATCTATCACCTTCCCGGCAGATTTGAGAAAAAGGGTCCGGAGGCTAAACCAGAGGATGAACGATTGAGGGAACTAGGCATGTCTCATCTAACAAAAAGGATTACAGAATAGTCCACCCCCCTGCTCAAGCAGGAGACCCTATATCATTAAGGGTGATCTGATAGCAATTTTCCAGGACTTGAGGGGCTGTCACAGAGAAGAGGGGGGTCAACTTATTCTCCAATGCACCAAAGGGCAAGACAAGAAACTAATCAAGGAGAGAAGCAACCTAGAACTAAGGAGAAAATTCCTGATACAACAATTAATCAGTGGATCGGCTTGCCTCCAGAAGTTGTGGGTGCTCCATCAGTGGAGATTTTCAAGGAGAGTCTGGGCAGATATTTGTCTGAAATGGTTTAGGCCAGGGTCTCCTGCTTGAGCAGAGGGTTGGACTGGAAGACCTCCAAGGTCCCTTCCAACTTTGTTATTCTATGTTCTCTGTTTTCACAAGTGATCTACTGTCTAATGCTTAGATAAATGACAAGGTGCGTAAAGCAAATAGGATGCCAAGGGCTGATGGCTCCCCTTATAGAGCAGTAAGTCCGCTGCCAGCTGGACTTCCGATAGCTCTGAACTCCGAAGGAAACTGCAGCTGTCAGAAAAACAACAGGACACAATTATAATAAATAAAAAACAAACTGCAAGTTAGGCAGAGCCGGTTCTAGTTTAAAACTGCATATTTTAAAAAATAACATATTTCTATCTATCTGCTGACGAAATGACTGCATTTAGAAGAGGTGCGTAGTAACGCATTCAAAATAGATTGCTATTTTAATTCCTTCAATGTCAAACTCTACCATAGCTGGAACTATTTCCCCCCCCCCCCCCAGTATAATCTCGGTGCCTTTATTATTATTTTTTCATACCTTAGCCAGGCCGTTTTAGATTGCCTCCACTGAATTTTTTTAAAAAAAAACTCCATTGCAATTTTAAAACGCATTATTTTTATTGCCAGGGAAATGTGTAATTGAGATTTCCTTTGAATACCCTTGGGAAATCTGACTGTGTAGGAATGGGGTTCCTTGATGGATCTGCCTTACTTAATTCAGCTAATGCCTGAAACTAGTCGTAATACTGGTACAATTCGTTTTTATTATTTTTTTATTATTATTATTATTATTATTATTATTATTATTATTATTATTATTATTATTATTTATTTTTGCCTTTGAATCAGTATTGACTCCTAGTGACCACTTGGACAGGCCCTGGTGTGTTCTTGTCCTGGTTTGTTATGGCCTTCTTCCTAGGGCTAAGAGAGAGTGACTGGCCCAAGGTCATCCAATTGGTTTGGTGTCAGGACTAGAACTCACAGTCTCCCGGTTTCTAGCCTGATGCCTTAACCACTCGACCAAACTGTTTCTCAGTGGTACCATTAGTGACGACGAATCATTTAAAGCTGCAAGTAGAAGGGTCACCTATCAAGTAAGGATCCCCTTATGGGTCTGCTTTGCTTTCAATTTCCTATGGACAGGTAATCCTCAATCATTTAGCAACTTTTTGAAGTTATGGCAGCACTGAAAAAAGTGATTTATAGGGGTCCATGCCCTTATGGTTGTTGCAGCATCCCCTCAGTCACATAATAAATAATAATAATAATAATAATAATAATAATAATAATAATAATAATAATAATAATAATAGTAGTAGTAGTAGTAGTAGTAGTAGTAGTAGTAGTAGTAGTAGTAGTAGTAGTAATAAAATTGGAAGGGACCTTGGAGGTCATCTAGTCCAATCTCCTGCTCAGGCAGGAAATCCTATACCATTTCAGACAAATGGCTGTCCAGTCTCTTCTTAAAAACTTCCAGTGTTGGAGCATTCACCGCTTCTGGAGGCAGGTTGTTCCACTGGTTAATTGTTCTAACTGTCAGGAAGTTTCTCCTTAGTTCTAGACTGATTTTCTCCTTGATTAGTTTCCATCCGTTGCTTCTTGTCCTGCCTTCAGGCGCTTTGGAGAATAGCTTGACTCCCTCTTCTTTGTGGCAGCCCCTGAGATATTGGAACACAGCTATCATGTCACCCCTAGACCTTCTCTTCGTTAAACTAGACATACCCAATTCCAGCAACCGTTCCTTATATGTTTTAGCCTCCAGTCCCCTGATCATCTTTGTTGCTCTTCTCTGTACTCTTTCTAGAGTCTCAACATCTTTTTTACATAAAGTCAGATGTGACCCAGTTAACAACAGCATCCCTTAGCAATGGAGTTTCTGGTCCCAAGGACTCCCTGTATCTAATATTAAATAAGTTATGTCCTATCACTGCAGTAGTTCCACATCAATATGAAAATTAGTCCACTTTTCTCCAAATATATAAAGACTTAGTCTATTTACTTGAATGTATGCATATTCAAATCAAATCACATTTATTGTTACAATCAAAAGGCCAGTAATATGCTTGCATATTCTGCAAGTGATTATTTTCCTGAATGCAACATCTTTTAGATGTGTATTCCTCTAAAATAAGTCTTTCCAATTGGATGTTCCCAGAAGAACTGTCTTGTATGAAATTGTTTTCTGCATCAGAAAATGTTGGAGGTGTGGTAGAGAAAGCAGATGGCAGCAAGTTCTAACTGTCAGGAAGTTTCTCCTTAGTTCTAGATTGCTTCTCCCCTTGATTAGTTTCCATCCGTTGCTTCTTGTCCTGCCTTCAGGCGCTTTGGAGAATAGCTTGACTCCCTCTTCTTAGTGGCAGCCCCTGAGATATTGGAACACTGCTATCATGTCCTCCCTCGTCCTTCTCTTCGTTAAACTAGACATACCCAGTTCCAGCAACCGTTCCTTATATGTTTTAACCTCCAGTCCCCTAATCATCTTTGTTTCTCTCACAGTTACTACTATTGAGCAAGGTACCCCCTATACTATACCTGTACATTTGGTTTTTCTTGCCTAAATGTAGAACCAGTGTTCAAGTCTGTCCAGGTCCTCCTGTATCCTAAGCCTGTCTTCTGGAGTGTTGGCTATTCCTGCCAGCTTGGTGTCATCTGCAAATTTGATGAGTTCCCCATCTATCCCCTCATCCAGATCGTTGATGAAGATGTTGAAGAGCACTGGGCCCAGAACAGAGCCCTGGGGCACCCCACTATAAACTTCCCTCCATGTAGATGCGGTTCCATTGAGGACCACACGCTGAGTACGGCCGGTCAGCCAGCTACAAATCCATCTGGTGATGATGCTGTCTAACCCATATTTTTCTATCTTATTGAGTAGTAGGTTGTGATCTACTTTATCAAATGCCTTACTGAAGTCCAAGTAAATTATATCCACAGCATTCCTCTGATCCACTAATTTTGTCACGTGGTCAAAGAATGTAATAAGGTTTGTCTGGCATGATCTGTTTTTGACAAACCCATGTTGGCTTTTAGTAATGACTTTGTTTGCCTATCTAAAATCTATCATCTATCTATCTATAATTTCTCTCTCTATCATATCTCTATCTATCTATCTATCTATCTATCTATCTATCTATCTATCTATCTATCTATCTATCTATCTATCTATCTAACTATCTATCTATCTATCTATCATTTTTCTCTCTCATCTCTCTCTCTATCATCTCTATCTGTGTGTCTGTCTCTGTCTGTCTGTCCATCTATCTATCATTTATCTGTCTGTCTCTGTCTATCTAAATATCATCTATCTATCTATCTATCTATCTATCTATCTATCTATCTATCTATCTATCTATCTATCTATCTATCATCTATCTATCATCTATCTATCTATCTATCTATCTATCTATCTATCTATCTATCTATCTATCTATCATTTCTCTCTATCATATCTATCTGTCTGTCTGTCTGTCTGTCTATCTATCTATCTATCTATCTATCTATCTATCTATCTATCTATCTATCTATCTATCTATCTATCTATCTATCTATCTATCTATCTATCATCTATCATTTCTCTCTCTCTTTTCTTGTTAGCACAGCAGGCCTCCCTGCCCTCCACTGTCTCCTGGAATTTGCCCAAATTCATGTTCACAGTGTGGATGACATTCTCTAGCCATCTCATCTTCTGCCGTCCCCTTCTCCTTTTGCCTTCTGTCTTTCCCAACATTGGGGTCTTTTCCAATGAGTCCTTTCTTCTCATTACTGGTAGGTAAGTATTTGAGCTTCGGCTTCAAGACATTTACCTCAGTGTGGCTTGGAACTATATCAATCTCTTCCTCTTTCATCTCTTGCAGATCTCCTCTCTGACTCTCCTTCCCTCCTCCCCCTCCCTCTGTGGCTACAGCTCTTTCCCTTGGTCAGCTGCCCCCAAAACAGCTAGAATTATTTGATGGTTGTTGTTAGTTGCGAAGTCATGTCCGACCCATCGCGACCCCATGGACAATGTTCCTCCAGGCCTTCCTGTCCTCTACCATCTTCTGGAGTCCATTTAAGCTCACGCCTACTGCTTCAGTGACTCCATTCAGCCACCTCCTTCTCTGTCGTCCCCTTCTTCTATTGCCCTCAATCTTTCCCAGCATTAGGGTCTTCTCCAGTGAATCCTTCCTTCTCATTAGGTGGCCAAAGTCCTTGAGTTTCAACTTCAGGATCTGGCCTTCTAAAGAGCAGTCGGGGTTGATCTCCTCTAGGACTGACCGGTTTGATCGCCTTGCAGTCCAGGGGACTCGCAGGAGTCTTCTCCAGCACCATAGTTCAAAGGCACTCATATACAAATCTTCCTAGTTCGGGGATAGACAACAACAAAACCATAATTGCAATCTCTATTTGCAAGAGATTTGATTGATCTGTTCTTTTCCTGCAGCCTGCTCCCGAGAGAAAGGGAACGTAGTAAAAGTCCCCATCTAATTTTTAGATCTGGTTTTTTTAACGGAAAAAAAAATTAAATGTGTCAATATTTCATACTGGGTTTCAGAGACACAAGTAATATGTGATTTTGGAACAAGATGGAAGAGGAACAGGAGGAAGAGGAACAGGAAGAGGAACAGGAGGAAGGAGGAGGAGGAAGAGGAACAGGAGGAGAAGAAGAAGGAGGAGGAGGAGAAAAAGGAGGAGAACGAGGAGGAAGGGCAGGAAAAGGAAAAGGGGGAGGAGAGGGGAAGGAGGAAGAGGAAAAAGGAGAGGGAGAAGAAGTAAGAGAAACGGTAGGGTAATGAAAAGGAGAAGGAAGAGGAAGAGGAGGAGGAGGGAAGGAGGAGGAGGAACAAGAGAAGGAAAAGAAGAAGGAGAAGGAAAGGGAGGAAGAGAAAGAGGAGGGAGAAAACGAGGAGAAGCCAGAGAGCCAGAGAAAGGGCAGGATAATGATGATGATGATGATGATGATGATGATGAGGAGGAGGAGGAGGAGGAGGAGGAGGAACGCAGCATCAGTTCAAAATCATTTGTCAACTTTTTGAATGGCTAGAAGAGAACTCACCGCTCTGGTCACAGAGAGGAATCGGTCATAACTAATCAGAACGATATTGAAGACTGAAGTGGTACACAATAGATAATCCATCACCAGCCAGAGTTTGCAAAAGCTTTTCCCGAAGGCCCATCTTCCCGTGAGGACATAGGGTACATACAGTGGAATACAAAAGGCACCTGAAACGAGAAAGCGTGATTCATGCTTTTCAAACATCTCCTCGGCTGACAGGATCAAAGGGCATGGATTGAATACAAGTCAAGGCATTTGTCTCATACAAAACAGTATAAATGCTGGTTGTGGTGTATTAGCTGTCATCGCCCACTGCCTTGGCTCCTCCAGAAACTGCTGAGATGTTGCAAGTTCAGTCCTGGAATATTGATAATCTCTTAAACTAAAGTGGTGATTTTTTTAAAAAAAAAACACCTTCAATTGAACTACTAGGAGATGGGGAAAGACAAAAGGCTAAAAAAATGGGAGCAGCTCTATCTTTGGGACAATGGCTGTTCTTCGGTGTTCAGTTAGGTCGGGGTAGGCAACCTCGGCTCTTTTATGACTTGTGGACTTCAACTCCCAGAATTCCTGAGCCAGCATGGTTCAGCATGGAAACCTCTCCATTTCTCCTCAGCATGTCTGGCTCAGGAATTCTGGGAGTTGAAGTCCACGAGTCATAAAAGAGCCAAGGTTGCCTATCCCTGAGTTAGGTAAAGGTGTCATCGGAATGCATGGTGATGAGGGCTTGGAAACCTAATCTAGATTATTGGGTTGCAGTAATCTACGAAAGAGAAACCGTGGATTGTAAGGGAAAGAATCTTGGATACAGTAGTACAGGTAACTCCTTGAGTTATGACTATAATGGAGTTTGCCCATCACAGTCATAACTTATGATGGTCATCAAGCAGTCACAAGACTGATCTATTTTGCAACCTTTTTTGTGATGGTCCTTAAGTGAGCACAGCAGCTGTGGTCAAGCAGTCTGGTTATTAAGCAAACACAGAGGCATGGTGGCGCAGTGGTTAGAATGCAGTACTGCAGGCTAATTCTGCCAACTGCCGTCAGTTCGATTCTCACCGGCTCAAAGTTGACTCAGCCTTTCATCCTTCCGAGGTTAGTGACAACCCAGATTGTTGGGGGGCAAGACGTTGACTCTCTAAACCCCTTAGAGAGGGCTGTAAAGCACTATGAAGCGGTATATAAAAATCTAAGTGCTAAGTGCTAATGCTATTTGGCAAACTCAAAGTTCACTATGGGCTGATTTTGCTGAACAATGCTGAGTAAATGCTGGATTAGGGCAAACCTGTGGTAACAGGAAGTCAGATGACCACAGGATGTTGCAACTGGACCTAGATATGGCTGAGCTGCTGACCGGCTGAAGACTGGGGGGAGGGAGTATTGGAACGTAAAATCCAGGCCATAACTACTCCCCAGATATGACGGTTGGAACTCTGAATTTTTGCTAAGTGACTCACAACTTACGACCACAATTGAGCCCCAAATTTATGTTGTTCAGTGAGAAATTTGTTAAGTGAGTTTTGCCCCTTTTTACGACTTTTCTTTCCACATTAAGTGTTAAATGAATCACTGCAGTTGTTAAATTAATAACATGGTTGTTAAACGAATCCGGCTTCTCCATTGACTTTACCTGTCAGAAGGTCGCAAAAGGGGATCACAGGACCCCAGGACACTGCAACTGTCATAAATGTGAGTCAGTTGTCAAGCATCCGAGTATAAATCACATGACCACGGAGATGCTGCAACGGCCGTAAGTGTGAAAAATGGTCATAAATCACTATTTTCAGTGCCGTTGTGACTTCAAACAGTCACTAAATGAACTGTTGAAAGTCGAGGACTACCTTTATCTAATCTAGTTTCCTGCTCAGGAATTCACTACAGTATGGCCATCTATCCTAAGGTCTCCAATGAAGAAGAATTTTCTGTCTTGCAAAGCCATCTGTTCAACTGAAGAATGGCTTTTCCTATTAGGAAATTCTTTCAAATGTGCAGCGAAAATCATTGAGATTGCCTCTTTGTAATTTTAAACTGATTGTTTCTTATCTTGCCTTCCCGAATAGCTCTGGAAAATGGTTCTTCAGATACTCAAAGACAGCTATCCTGTATTTTCTTAGTCTTTTCGAAACTTCAGGCTAAAGCAGGGGTGTCCAGCCTTGCTAACTTTAAGATCTGTGGACTTCAACTCCCAGAATTCCCCGGCCAGCCATGGGGTTAACCTATTCTCCAAAACACCAGAAGGCAAGACAAGACAAGATGGATGGAAACTTATCAAGGAGCGATCCATTCAACCTAGAACTTCCCTGACTGTAAGAACAATTAATCAGGGGATTGGTTTGCCTCCAGAAGTTGTGGATGCTCCATCAGTGGAGGCTTTTAAGAAGAGATTGGACAGGATTTTATCTGCAATTGTATAAGCCAGGGGTAGGCAACCTTGGCTCTTTTATGACTCGTGGACTTCAACTCCCAGAATTCCTGAGCCAGCCATGCTGAGGGGAAAGGGAGAGGTTTCCAAGCTGAGCCATGCTGGCTCAGGAATTCTGGGAGTTGAAGTTCACGAGTCATAAAAGAGCCAAGGTTGCCTGCCCCTGGTATAAGCTCTTCTCTTGAGCAAGGGGTTGGACTAGAAGAGCTCTAAGGTCCCTTCCAACTCTGTTATTCTGTTTTTAAAAATACTAATATCCCGAGCATGGTTCTCAGTTAAAGTACCTTTGGCCATTGACAGTTCTTTATTTTTGTGGAAATATGGAGATAAAATGAAGCAACTTTTAAAATGAACCTGAAGTCAGAAAATACTGCACATATTACTGCGTCTTTATCTTTCCATCTCACTGTTAGCTTTTAGCTTCCCGCAATTATTTTATGAGTTTCATAACATTCGATAGATAATGGCTCAACTATAAGAAACTCTGCTGTTTCAATATGAAGGATGATTTTAATTTAAGTGAATGTTTTTGCTATTCAGAGTGCCTCGCCAGTTTTCAAAATTTTACATTTTATTTAATAGTGGCAAGGCAGCCAGTACTATTTGTTGAGTCCATTAAACATAATGCAAAAAATAATAAAGGTTCCCCGAAGTTCCATTAGTAACAACACTGTAGTTGCTTACTCAGAAGTGGGTCTTGCTACTTAAAATTGTTTGCAACCAGATGTATTTTTAAGAAAATTATTATTTTATTTTTTTTACTGCTGGGCGATGTACTATTGGGATTATAGCATTTCATTTTTTTTAATTTATATTCATCATGCTTATGTTGTATCAAGTAAACTTCATTTCAGCTTCTACTGTCCTGTGCTCTTTGGAATACTAGGTCCCGATTAGACAAAACTTTCCTGTAACAATGTGTTGCTTTTTTACGCATAGCCTCTGTTCAGTTTTGCCTAAAAACACATACATACCAATTTACATTAAGATAAGATAAAGATAACATTTGTTGTCATTTTTTACTATGAGCACACTGGCCCACATTAAACATGAAATTCTGTGGCCTGCTCTCAAAAGAAAGTACGTATGTATGTATGTCTAGTTTAACGAAGAAAAGGACAAGGGGTGACATGATAGCAGTGTTCCAATATCTCAGGGGCTGCCCCAAAGAAGAGGGAGTCAAGCTATTCTCCAAGGCACCTGAAGGCAGGACAAGAAGCAACGGATAGAAACTAATCAAGGAGAGAAGCAACCTAGAACTAAGGAGAAACTTCCTGACAGTTAGAACAATTAACCAGTGGAACAACCTGCCTCCAGAAGCGGTGAATGCTCCAACACTGGAAGTTTTTAAGAAGAGACTGGACAGCCATTTGTCCGAAATGGTATAGGGTTTCCTGCCTGAGCAGGGGGTTGGACTAGATGACCTCCAAGGTACCTTCCAATTTTACTATTATTATTATTATTATTATTATTATTATTATTATTATTATTATTATTATTATTATTATTATTATTATTATTATTATATCTACCCATACACCTACATAACACACATATACACATACTACATACATACATATATACACCTACCCCATAACACAAACACACAAACACACATACATATACATATACACATATACGCAGGGCTTTTTTTCTCATAGAACGGCACCTTTTTGGGATGGAACCTTGTAGGGTAGGCAAGGCAGGTTGTATAACGTGTGAGTTCCGGCACCTTTTTTTTTTTTAGAAAAAAAGCACTGCATATACACATATATACAAATACACATATAAATATTAATCGCTGTCCATTTTGAATACAATACTTTATGATAGTTCACTGAAGTTAATGGCATGAAAATATCACAAACACTGGAGCAATTAGAGCTTTTAAAAACCAGGAAAAATGAAGGCAAGAACGAACCTCTTCTACAAAATCTTGGAAGCAAATTGCAGGAACTAATCTAGGCAGTTACCACTGACTAAATCAACAAGACACCCCCCCCCCAAAAAAAAAGGATAACCAGGAATGTTGCACTGAAAGTTTCAAATAAATGTTCTGCTTACGTTGGGGAACAATCATCCCAGAAAAGTCATATTGATTCACATAGTTTCCCAGTCATCTTCTTACTGACATTGTGTTTGGAAAAAAACACCTGTTTTGAAGGTCTAGTTCAGGTCTGGCATGGCTGGCTGAGAATTCTGGGAGTTGAAGTCCACAAGTCTTAAAATTGCCCAGTTTGGAGAGCCCCAGTCTAATTGGTGTAGTTCCATCATCTCATTCATGTGATGAAGAAAACATCTGGAATGTTGTAATTTGCCAGTCAAGAAGATGCCATATTACAGGTGGTCCTCGACTTACAACAATTAGTTTAGTGGCTGTTCAAAGTTACCAGGACACTGAAAAAAGTGATTTATGACCGCTTTTCACACTTATGGCCATTGCAGCCCCATGATCACGTGATAAAATTCAGACGCCTGGCAACTGACGTTGCTGGTTAGAAAGTTGCAAAAGTTGATCGCATGATCCCGGGACACTGCAACTGTCATAAATATGACATAAATATGACAGTTGCAGTGTCCCGGGATCATGCGATCAACTTTTGCAACTTTCTAACCAGCAAAGTCAATGGGGAAGCCAGATTCACTTAACAACCGTGTTACTAACTTAACAACTGCAGTGATTTACATAACAACTGTCTCGCTTAACGACAGAAATTTTGGGCTCAATTGTGGTCGTAAGTGGTC